GGGCAGCCCTTCCCTGCCAGCCTGTAGCAGATGTTCAGCTTCTTAGAGCAGGGATCCCGAAAGCCCCAGGACAGGCTTTCATGTTCACCTTGTCCACTTCTGCACAGGTAGGATCCAGGCAATGCAGAGACCGTGTGCATGCGCACGTGTCAGCGGGGCCCCCGCGGGTGCTGCGCTCCCACCCTGGGCAGGGATGGGATTCAGAGGGCCTGGGTCGGAGGGGGCTAAGCTGGGCTGCTGGCTTTGGAGCCAGGGCTCTGGCAGGAGATCATGAGGGGACATGGAGGGAAAGCTGGGGTCTGTGGCCCTGGACTTTGAGCATGAGATGACTGTGGCTGCTTCCTCCTCCCTTGGAGAAGGCAGGTCATCACCACTGGCCCTACCCCTGTCCTAAGACCCTCTTCCAGCCCTCCACCGTGGGTGTCTCTCTGCTCCCCGCAGGGCGGACATTCCTTGATATTGACCTTCTCAACTCCAGTCCCCTGCATGGGAGAAAAGGCAGGCCTCTCTCAGGAGAAAGCGACCCTACTGGTCAGGTCCTGAGAGGGAAGATAGGACCTCAAGACCAGGCATGGAGCCCACCAGGACCAACAAGACAACCAACGACTGCATCGTGAAGGGTGACATCGACAACCACAAGGACCTGGATGTCAACAACGTGCTGTCCGGGGGCATGACCATGTGCCAGGGCACTGCAGGCAGATGCAGATCCGGCCCTGGCGCCCAGCACCATGAAGGTCAGGTGTGAGTGGTCACTGGCGGAGCAGGGAATCACCAAATGCCAGTTCCCTTCCTTGCCGCAGCCAAGTAACAAGACGCCTGCATGGGGCTGTCCAGTCTCCCAGCCGCCTCTGCGGAGCCTCCCCTACAGTCCCAGACCCTTGACCTCGGGCGGTAGAGAAACCACCTCTGCTGTACTTGGAGAGGGAAAAGCAGAAAAAGCGAGAACAAACCTGCTGTGTTTGAACTGACCACTTTCAAAGCCTGGCGGCAGAGACGTCTGGTGGCCAGGTTTCGCACACTGGGGAAACGCAGTCCCTTTCAGACCACCTCAGGCTCTGACCGAAACTGAGGCCCTCTCGTCTGGCAACTGTGCCTCTGGTTCCATCAGCCCACCGCAGGGGTGGCGCTCCAGCCAGTGCCACTTGAGTGACAAAGTCTGAGCTGCAGGTGGAGGGAGGGGTGGGAACAGCCACCTCAGAGGACCAAAGAGGGAGCCCGCCACTGCGGCAAGGGGATGGTCATTCCAAGGAATTCCTGCCTGGGATTAAGACAGCCTTCAAGGAACAAAGAGCTCCGGGGTGGGGAGGGGGCAGAATTCCCTCGGAGAAGTCTGTTGAATGATTCTGACTCGCCAGCATTTGAAATGCTCTCTCCTTTCCCAAGGACTGGGAGGCCTTTCTTCATGCCTCCAAGGTAAGGCAGCTGCAGAAACCATGCCCTGGCTGTGTCCCCACCCACGGGGCTGAGGCCACAACATGCTGGCACCCACGAGAGAGACAGCTGTTAACCCTGCTCCTCTCTCCCCGATCACTGCCCCACCAGAGCTCGAAGACTCAGTAGGCCTTGGGTCTCCATCCCAGCCGCCCTCTCCGCCTTCCGGCAGATGTGAACAGCAAGCAGAAGCACAGGGAGGCCGGCCCCTCCAGTGTCCACAGGAAGCGCTCTGAGCCCTGGCTCCGGGCCCACTTCCTGCCTCTGCTCCCGGCTCCCCGGGCCAGGCACGGGCCTGGGAGAGAAGCGCACAGCTCCATCTGTCACACTCGAAGGGCCAGAGCCTCCCCCAGCTCATAACTTTCCTGCCCTGTCAGGCCTGACATGAGTTACCCTTCCTTTGAGCCTTCGTTTTTCGTGAGTGGAGGGAAGAGGGGGCTGGAGTCTTTTTAAGAGACACAGAATATCCTGAGGAACCCAATAAAGTAAAAGGGAGGAAAGAAACACCAACACTCTCATCTGTGCAACTCCCACACAAGTGTTCTGGAATTTACCTTTACCCACGTATGTCCAATGTCACAACGCCTGGCCTGGGACTCTCTCCAGCAGCAGAGCAGATGCCCCTCAGAAGTTTTTTGACCTCTACCCAGGGCTTGTGGGAAGTGGCACAAACACATGCATTCGATCTCAGTTTCCACGTCTGGCTCCTTGCCCCAGACACCCTGAGGTTTTCTCAGCCCAAAGCTTCCTTCACAGGAAGAGGTGTGGGGCGTCACAGCTACGTGCCCCCCAGGGTTTAGGCCCAACGCTGGGATGGTCTGAGCCCACACTGCCGATGGCACCCCAGCAGCAGGAAGCCGTCCCAGCAGCTGAACAAAGTGTCTTTTATTGTGACATACAAATACAACCAATGCAAAAAGAGATCACTTTTTCCCTTTGATTCCAGTGATAACAAGTTGCTAAAGGGAAAAAAAAAAAATATATATATATATAGGTATATAAAAGAGGAGAGCAACCAAATCAATATACAAATCTACCAATGATAATAAGCTCTAAATACTAAACTAAGATAAACATAAAACCAGAAAA